GGGGCGGCAGCACCGGGCGAGGGCGGCTGGGGTGGGCGCGGCCGGCGCCCCGCTCGGTGGGACGGTCCGACGAGCGCAGGTGGCCTGAGGCGCGCCGCAAAGGCCTGTGGGAGGCTTGAGGTGCCGTATAGGTCTATGGGAGGCCTGAGGTGCTCTACAAAGGCTTCTGGGTAACATGAGGCTCGCCGCAAAGGCCTATGGGAGGCTTGAGGTGCCGCAAAGGCTTCTGGGTAGCTGGGGGGGCAGCTGATTGGGAGCTCCAGTGGGACCTGCGCAGGGCAGCTGGGTGCGCCCTCGCCTTCCCCAGGAGGGGGAGGGGGTGGGCCTGCGACGGTCCCCAGGCTGCTTTGGCAGGGGCTCGTGCTTTGCCAGGGCGGGAGAAAGAGCTGGCTGCGCCTGTGCTTGGCCACCTGTTGCGTGACATCGATTCTGGGCAAAGAATCAATTCTTTGCGTGGAACGGGATGGCTCAGCTTACCTAAGCACAGAGTTTATTAAAAGGATGTATTGGACTTCCTGTCGGAAACGGCCACACGAGGACTTCAGTGAAATCAAATCAATTTGTTTTCTGAAATACTCGCTGGTGCAATCGGTAACGTGTTGTAGAAGATGTGTCTCCTGGAGTTGCTCTTTACGCAGCATCAGTAAAGGCACATGAAAAGTTATTACAGCATATTGGAGTAATAGTTCTAAAAGCAAGGGGCAGTGTAAACGCTGCTGCCATCACCCCGTTTATTTCCTTGTTCTCTCTTTCCTGCCATTGCAGGGGCCTGGTGGGAGGATGATACTTGCCCTAGCAGGATACTGATATTCTGAGTCAACAACAGATTGCTCTCTGTTCTTCCTCATTTGTCTTTTTTGCGTAGAGTGTAGTTACCAAAACTTGTCAGTGATTCCTTCTCTCAAAAATATACCCTCTTCTTAACATGAGGGTCTAATGCCATTTAAAGCGGGGGCAGGGAGCTCCATTTACTGGGTTAGCTTTTTTGTATACAGTTTAGTTGGGAGGCTTCTCAATGCTAGAAATGTGTATTTTTGCTTGTGTTCAGGCTGCGCGTTTGTTTTTTAATCAAGCCTTTTATATTTTTTTCCTAGAGGTTAGTGATCATTCAAACCAATCAGTTCATTGAAGTTTAGGTCACAGTGGTCCTTTCTGGCACTTGTAATCTATGGAAAAATTGCTTTGGGTCAGTTTGCTGAACTTGCTTTGGAACTGGATAAACAGTTTCACTTTCGTACTGTCATATGCTGACTTCTTATTTTAATGCCTAAAGGAAGTTTGTAATTTAACTACATTCCTTGGATTATTTATTGCAACGTCCCCACAGGAAAAAGGGCAGCATTAAGTGTGAGCCATACCTTCCATTCCCAGTTTTCACGGTCCGTGTTAATCATGGATGCCCAGAATCTCAGGTTCTGATGTTGACCCTGAAAAATGAAAGTGTCCTTTCAGTGACATTATATTTATTTTGTAGCTTCTAACATACTTGGTAGGCATGGTAAAAGAGATTGCTAGGCTAGCACTTGTTGCTTTTACATTTTTTAAGTAGTCTTGATCTTGAAATTCTCAAGTGTGTTTACTACAGCACTGTCTTGTGTGTTGTCGAAGCTATACATCAGAAATGCTCAACCTCTGCCTAGTACAACAAGGATGGTTGTGGCCAATCTTGCATGCAACAAATAAGTATTATCTGTGTGTGATGATTGCGCACAAGTTGCTATGCTTGGAGAGACAGATTTTGCAGCCATATTTCCCTAAAGAGGAATTATTTATACTAGAGCGTTCTTTGGCTGTGGAGCCTCCACTGAATTCTCTCATTGGGGTCGCATAACAGACCTTAGCCGTTCCACCTTGTTGTAGCTGTGGGTTCCCTTCCCTGTGCTTCTTACTTTTTTTCATCAGATCTGCTTTGAGGCCCTCTACATTGGAACTGCTACTCAGCTTCTTGGTAGCTTAGAGATATCTTTTGACGAAACTCTCAGGGACACAGCATAAGCATTACTGTGGTGGAGGCATTGGGGACTGCTTTCCTACTAAACAGGAGAATACACAATTCCTGCATACATTTTATTCTCTGTTAAATTCCCGCATAAGTATACTTCACTATAAAATCCATCTAGTCTAGCTGGCAGTTAAAATGAGAGTTGTGCAACTGAGAGCCCTTCTGTGAAGCAGATGATGCAAATCCTTGCTTAACTGGGGGACTGTGGCATAGACACCCATACAGTCTAATGGGTCGCCAACTGGTTAGAGAGTCGCACCCAGAGGGTGGTAGTGGATGGGTGCTTCTCGGCCTGGAAGGACGTGGGAAGTGGGGTCCCACAGGGCTCGATCCTTGGGCCTGCACTGTTCAATATCTTCATCAGTGATTTGGACGAGGGGGTGCAAAGCACCCTGTTCAAGTTTGCTGATGACACTAAGATGTGGGGGGAAGTGGGCACAATAGAGGGGAGCAACAGGCTACAGTTGGACCTAGACAGGTTACAAGGATGGGCGGAGGAGAACAGGATGGGGTTTAACACAGACAAGTGTAAGGTGATGCACCTGGGGAGGAACAATCGGCACCATACATACAGGCTGGGGAACTCCCCTCTTGTCAGCACGGAGGTGGAAAAGGATCTGGGAGTCATTATTGACTCCAAGATGAACATGAGTCGGCAATGTGGGGAGGCGGCTAGGAAGGCCAACTGCACCTTGTCGTGCATCCACAGATGCATCTCGAGCAGGTCCAAGGAGGTGATCCTCCCCCTCTATGCGGCACTGGTCAGGCCGCAGCTGGAGTACTGCGTCCAGTTCTGGGCGCCGCACTTTAAGAGGGATGTGGACAGCATCGAGAGGGTCCAGAGGAGGGCCACTCGTATGATCAAGGGACAGCAGGGTAGGTCCTATGAGGAAAGGTTGCGGGACCTGAACCTGTTCAGCCTTCAAAAGAGAAGGCTGAGGGGGGATCTTGTGGCCTGTTATAAACTGGTTAGGGGGGATCAGCAGGCGCTGGGGGAGTCCCTGTTCCCCCGAGCGCCGCAAGGAGTGACCAGGAACAACGGTCACAAGCTGGCGGAGGGAAGGTTTAAGTTGGACATCAGGAGGCGCTACTTCACGGTCAGGGCGGCTAGAGTCTGGAACCAGCTTCCAAGTGAGGTGGTGCAGGCTCCCACCCTGGGGGTTTTTAAGAGGAGGTTGGGTGACCACCTTACTGGGGTCGTTTGACCCCAGTGCTCTTTCCTGCCATGGCAGGGGGGCGGACTAGATGATCTGCTCAGGTCCCTTCCGACCCTAGAAACTATGAAACTGTAAAGGCTTAAGTATTGCAGCAGGAGCATTTACGTGACAGGTCCGTTTGACCCATAAGGTATCTTCTTCCTCCTCCAGTTGTCCTCATGCCTAGTTTTGGTAAAGGCTTGAAAGAAAAAAACACTTCAAATGCAACAGTTTAAAATTCATTTCAGGAAAGCAGGAAGAGAAGCTCATAAACCCTTCGTGCATACTGCTGTTTCCCCTAGCGCCCGCTGGCATAACAAGGAGTAATGGGCACAAGTTGATGGAGAGGAGGTATAGATTGGACATCTGCAAAAACTACTTCACAGTTAGGGCGGCTAGGAGCTGGAACCAACTTCCAAGGGAAGTGGTGCTGGCCCCTACCCTGGGGGTCTTTAAGAAGAGGCTGGATGCCTACCTGGCTGGACTCATTTGAGTCCCGTTTCTTGTTTTGGGGTTTTGTTGTTCTCCCGCCCTGGCGGGGGGTCGGGCTAGAAGATCTACTAGGTCCCTTCTGACCCTAAATCTATGAAACTATGAAACTATGCTTTGACTTCTTTCCAAAGAACAGAGATATGTGGTGCTAGCTGGACTGAAGAACATAACATACTCTCCCTTCTTGTTCTGTAAGTTATGATGGGCTGTGGCTTTCAGACCTGTACAGCTTGTAATCTCATCTTCAAACAGAATAGGTATTGCAGGGGGGTCCTTCTGTACAGGAGATGCTAGTGTGAACCACTTAAAAATGTGCTTCTGACTGCTAAAATATTCCAAATGTAAACTAATGTAGTGCTGTCCATAGAATCCAGCTGCCAGTTCTGGCAGCTGTAGAAGTGTACTGACAGGTGGTCATTCTTGGAGTACAGCAATGCTTCTGCAAAATCATTCAGGCACCTTTCTTTGTTTCCAGCTACAGTTCTTGTTTGTTCAGCCTGATGTGCTGCTGGCTGCTCTCTGATTTGCTGGTATCTCTCACGGATTACTTCACTTTTTCAGAACTCTCTTGGATCTCCTTTATGACTCTGATTGTTTGCTTCTTTCAGTGATCTGCTCTGCCAAAACATCCTTGATTTAACCTGCCAAACCCAAATTATTTTCTCCGTTGGAAGTTCAGTTCTCAGGCCACTGTTTGTGTGAAATGCTTTGTACTCTGGGGTTTCATACCTGGTGCCATTAGGATGGTGATCATTGGAACAGAATGAAGCTGTTCTTCATTTGTAACATGCTACCCAGTATGACACTCTTTATAGTCTTCCCTACAGAAAACTTGCATATGACACTAACAATTTCCTGTTTCCTTATTAATATCTTCAGGCGGGTGCCACATCCATGTGGGCTTCCTGCTGTGGGCTGCTGAATGAAGTCATGGGTACTGGAGCTGTCCGTGGCCAACAGTCGGGATTTGGAGGAGGTACTGGTCCATTCCGATTTGCACCAAATACAGAGTTCTCAGCATGTCCATCTTCAACAGGAGGTGCTAACATAGTTTGCAAAGCTTGTGGACTTTCCTTTTCAGTCTTTAGGAAAAAGGTGAGTATATTTCCTATTACATAGTACTTTATGATAATTCAATTTGGTGGTTCCTTCAAGGTTACAGAAACCTAGGTCAGAAGTCGCAGCCCCCTGCTCATGTTAGACTAGTTCATGTCCGATTTAAATCATTGGGTGAGGCCAAATTCTGACTAGGATCTAGAAGTGGGAGCCAACCTTTGTGGTAACATGGCAGGCCTGTAGAACTGTCTTGTGCAGCTGGTGACCCAGAAAACTGTAGCTAATTTAGACATGAAGGCCTTTATTTTCTAATGTGTACAAATATTTACTAATATTTAAAGTTGCAGAGCTCTCGGTCCCTGCTGTGATCATGTGCCTACAGTAGCAAATCAGGTTTGTCACGATGCCTTCTTAGTCTAAGGCTACTTCACTAAAGTTTCAGCGAACATGGGGAGATGTATTAAGCTACCTGTGGTGCTCATGTTTTAAGGGACTGATGTACCTCTTGGACAAACTAAACAACTTGAACTAGCTATTGAGTTATGCATGAACTTGGCATCTTGCCCTCCTTGCAGCCCATATGTTCCATGTAATGCACTAATCTAAAACTCTGCATTTAATCCTGATTCAAAGCCTTTGAATTCCATAATAATCTATACTGACTTGAGGGGGATATGGATCAGACCTGGTGTGGTTGGAAAAAAGGAACCCCATAAGCTAATGGCCGGAACCTTCCCCTTCTATGCCTTTCTTTCAACTATACTATCTGCACAAATGTCACCTGTGCCCAGTCCAAGACTTCAGATTTGCTTGCAGAGGTTTTCACATGGCACGATGGAAACAGATACAAGCAATAGTATTTTTCCAGTCTCATATGCACTCAAATAGATGAAAGAATAGGACATAATGTAACTTCCTAGTTGGACACTCATCATTCACAGTTCGTCTCCTTTTTCAAATGTCCTGTTGTCAAGAGTGCGTAAACCAGAAAACACATTGAGTGGATTCTGTTAAGTGGGTATCTAACTGCTTTGAGTATTTGACTTTTTGCTTTGGGTTCATGTGAGCTTTAAAGCTCACATTTTTATTTAGCCTTTGAATCAGATCTCTTATTTTCAAGGTCCCATTCACTATTTTTATGGTGACTCTTCAAAGGTTTTATTTATAACTGCAGCTAAGTTGTTCTGTTGCAGCATCCAGTGTTTGCCTGGAATGTCTCCCTCCCTTAATTTAATTTCCTGGAAGTCAGCGCAGAAAGCAAGCTCTTCCTGATTCCAGCTAGGAGCTGCTTAAGACTTTGAAATGTCTGAATGGACACTGGCTTTTGTCCCAGGTATTGAAGCTTAGTCCAGTTACAAACCCATGTCTGTGTACACTAGTAAGAATTTCAGTGTTGCTTGGGAAGGCAGGGCAGCATTTAGTACATCGTTTCCTCTTGATGCAAGATGATGGCTGGACTGCAGTCCTCCGTTGTCTTTCCCCTCTAAAACTATCACTTACGTTCTTTGTGTAAAGTGCAGTTACCACATTTAATATGTTTTCTAGCCAAGGTAAGGCAGCCCCATTGCCAAGGAGAGGCTTCACATGCAGTCTTGCAAAAGTAATCTGCAGCAGTAATATTGTTAAAAAGGAAGGAAGGCTTCCTGCCAGATGTGCTTTTGTTCAGATCAGTTGCTGTACTGGTCTACATAACCCTGTCTCTAGTGTGCACAGCTGTTATGTGGTGTATCCCTTGGATGTTGAAGTCTGGAAGTAAGAAGCCATCCATGATATAGCTCTTTCATTCCTCTGACTTGAAATCTATCAGTTGAAATCTTTCAGGGAGAGGGGACAGGTGCTCATGGATTTACAGATAGTATTTGTGCAGAACTACCATCCTTGATGAGCATTTTGTTGAAGGAAACAAAATTTAAAAGGATATTGTCACTTCTAGCTGAAGTTTCCACTTAATATGCAAGAAGTAATAACCAAGATCACTGCAATGTCAAGACTGGAGAACTCTTCCAGTATTTTCACTCGGTGAAAATGGACTGTACAGGTTTAATACTTCTTCTCTGTGGTCTGTCCATCTTCAGTCTGCATGGGCTCTAACAGTTTGGTAGGTCAAATATCTACTTCTACATGCACCAAAAAACCCCCAGAAACTGGCAGTGGGATTTGGCAGCAGGCAGAGCGTTCAGAATCATTCCTAACATGCTACAATTTGATTAGGTCTCCAGTTGACATCCTGAGTAAACACTAGCCTATATGGACATTTCAACATGCTGCCTTGCTAAAACTGATTAAATGTCATAGTTAGTGCTCTAGCTGCACAGAACTTGTACCTACCCGGGAAAGAACCTACAAAGTTGTCTTTCAAAGGCCAGTTTAAGAGACTTTGTTCATAAATGCTTGTAAGACAAGATTGTTGGTTGAAAGCCAAAGAACAGCAGTAGATGTAGTGGGGAGGAGAAGCAAAATACAAGTATTTTCTACTCCAGTGAATATTTGACACATGGTTTAATGGATTGTTTTTATCTACCTGTCTAGCACGTGTGCTGTGACTGCAAGAAGGATTTTTGCTCAGTTTGTTCAGTCTTACAAGAAAATTTCCGAAGATGTTCGACATGTCACTTGTTACAAGAGACAGCGTTCCAGCGGCCTCAGTTAATGCGACTGAAAGTGAAGGATCTGCGTCAGTATCTTATTCTCCGAAACATCCCAATAGATACGTGTCGAGAGAAAGAAGACCTGGTAGATCTTGTGCTATGTCACCATGGAGTACACTCAGAGGAGAGCGTGGACACTAGCAGCTTGCACTCTGCACGGTCACAGACTTCTAGTATTTTTACGCATCCATTTTCAATGTCTGTATCAGTGTCATCCTCGCAAGGGGAGTTTGCAAGCAGAAGGGGTAGCGCAGGAAATGGAACCCTTTTACAGGTACAGTACTAGCAATTGTGTGTGCGCAGAGCAGACTGACTTGCTGAAAGCCTCCAAGTAGGTGAGAGGTGGGCCTTTGTGGGGAAAGCAGGCTTTGAGGGTTTTACACCTTTCCCTGACACTAGAAAAACACTGGAAGCTGGGATAAGACTGATCACAAAGCCTGTAAAGTGGCTGATTGTGCAGCCATTTGAAAACCATGGCTTTCAGTGTCACCTCTGACTAGTTTAGTGCAGGAAGGGAAGTGTTTTAGAAGGGGATTACATGTGTATCCTGATCTGATTCATTGTGTGTGCAGGGCCAAGCTGAAACTCCTTCAGCAAATGAAGAAGATGATGCTGCAGAAGAGCAGGTGAGATGTGTAAAAATCACCTAAAGAGAAATACTAGAGCTGCTTCTCATCTGGCACTGGGGTTTGGGGAATTTGGCCAGAATAATCAGCAGTGTCAGTAGCAAGTTCTTCAGGAAGGAAACTGTTAAAGCCACATATATTGTGTTTCAGACCCCTGGGCTGTCCAGAAAGCGAGCAAGGGCATCACTGTCTGACATTTCAAGTCTGGAAGACATAGAAGGGTTGAATGTTCGCCAGCTGAAGGAGATACTTGCTCGTAATTTTGTCAACTATTCAGGATGCTGTGAAAAGTGGGAACTTGTGGAAAAAGTGAACAGACTGTACAGGGAGAGTGAGGAAAATCACAAGACACGTAAGTTTATATTTAGTTCTCACTTTCTTGTTCTCTGCTCCTGGCCTTGCCAAGGTAAGGTTATGTATGTAAGCTCCTCCATCAGCTCAAATGGCTGATGAGACATTTCAACCAACTACCAGCTGTGGTAAAAACTGCACTACTGAAAACCTTTGCTGGGGTTTCACTAAGTTTTGGTGGGATTGTTTCTGATGCGGGCAGAGGAGGGACTTCTGTCCCTACTCCCTCCCCTGCCACCATTCTCACAAGCCATTTTTGCCAGTAACTTCACCAATGTGGCTACAGCACGTTCACCAAGACCACTCAGCAGTGAGCTGTGCACAACTATTTCAGGATTCTTTTTTTCCAATTGTCTGGAAGCATCGTACAGATACCAAGCAACATAGTAGGCATTCTGACCCACAGGGATAGAATCCTAAATACAAGATCAGCCAGACTTAAATGTCTGGCTGTGATTCACCTTTACTGTTTAAAGTCTAGTCCATGGGGTTTTTTAACCATGGGTCTGGGGGGTTGCCCAGAGTAGAAGGATCTGGTTCTGAAACATTATCTTCCCATTCCCCAGCAGCCCTCATGTCTAAACTCAATCCGTGTGCTGTTGCTTTGCAGAAGGAGAGAAGATGCAGTTGAATGACAACGATGATAATCTGTGCAGGATCTGCATGGATGCAGTCATTGACTGTGTTCTCCTGGAATGTGGTCATATGGTCACGTGCACAAAGTGTGGCAAAAGGATGAGCGAGTGCCCCATCTGCCGGCAGTACGTTGTACGGGCAGTGCATGTATTTAAGTCTTAAACGAAGAGCAGGAATGGATTTTCTAGCCACATGCTGACTTCCAGGATTTCTGTGGACAAGAGTGAGTGACTGAGCTTGGGCTGTAGGGCAGACCTTAGTTTCAATATCAAAATCACAATATTTTGAAGAGCAGGATCTAAAGTCTGTCAAACACTTTCTATGGTATAATTACATTTGCATTTTGGCAATACGATGCCTGTGTGTAGAATGCTAGAGCTGCCTGAATTACCTTATAAAACCACAAACTGTTGAAGTCAAACTGTTTACAGCAGATTTATATCACTTATTGCTCTCTTCTGAAGAATATAACCCTATCTTTATTTTATTATATTAATGTGCTGAATGATTGTAATCAAAAAGTACTGCTTTAACTTTGATCGTGTCATTGGGTGACTACGTGTTCTGGTGCATTAGGAACAATGACTACACCAGTAGACTATTAATTGAAATCTTTAATATGCATAAAGAAGTTTTATAGAATGTAACTATTTTGACACTGGTTGTACAGTGGTGTCAAGACAGTCTCTAAAAACACGATTGTAGAAATCACTGCCTTTGCCTACAAATATTTCTAATGTCTGTCCATTATGTGTGTACTCTGGCCGTTCTTTATCAAAGAGAATCAGCCTAGTGATGTCAAACTGTCTTTAGGTAGGGAATAAAATCTAATTTTGAAGAGGCTTCGTGACAGGTGTTAACACTGGTGGCTCCCAAATCCATACAAGCCTGCTGTAAATACCTAGTATTCTTATAAAAGATGATTGTAATAATGTGAATACTGCTCAGGAGAGTTGGCCTGCAACTGCTAGTATTTTGGAATGTATACTGTTTCTAAACCTGACACCAGTCGGTCTAAAGGGTGCAGTGAATGAGAGTAGAAGAGAAAAAAAAGAGTAGGAGCTGAAGCTTTTAACTCCCAGTTCCCAGGTGGCTGAATCGAGGCAAGAAATGTGCTGGCTATCTATTCAGAAGCCTACATAAAGTCAGTCCCTCTCTCTCTGTGGCTTGATGTCATCTAGGAAATAATCAGTGGCAGCAGTCACTACCCATCTGGAATAGAGATTGCTGACATGATCCCTGCAGCTTGTCAGGAACAGACTTTTTTGCAAGGAATTAGAGGGGCTACACTAGGATGCAAGTATTGCCACAGTCTCTGTTCCGAGGACAGATATTACTGTCATGCTGGCACTTGTAATAGAGTACTCATTTTCTGAGGGGAAAAAAAAAATTAGTGGGGGGAAAAGATCTACCAGTGTTTCAGGCTCTAGTTATACAGTGACAACTCTGAGCAGTGTTGTATCTACAGTAAACACTTACTGCCAAGTAACTGCAGAGTTGCACAATAATGCTCAATCAAGACTTAAAGGCTTGGCGAGCACAGACTGCCTGGTCTCCTCTAGGTGGACAAGACAATTTTTAGCAGCTGCAGCAAAATAATCTTTTGGTTTTCTGTTCATGGAGTAGGTAGCTTTCTCCCCAGCTCGATTCAACGCATCACTTGCTGGAGACAGCAACAGAAACGTAGCAGGGAGGGCATGGAAGAGGTGGGACGAGCTAAGGGAATATCTTCTACTGTGCCTAGCTTACAGTATTCTATGTCATTCTGTAAAATCCAGAGAACATTTGCACAAGGTGCTGTCACTGCTGTTGTCTCATGTGAAAACTATTCCTGAGCTGTTATACAAGCTTGCTGTCTGCTAAATGAGCAAAGACGGGGACCAGGTAAGCAAGTGGCTCCTATCAAAGTTTGTACAGTTTGTAATAAAATATCTTGGGAAGTGAATGTTAACCTCATGTCATACTTGTAACGGAGCAACTTAAATGACATTGCTATTTATTTTTCAGAAGGGAGCAAAAAAACCAAACAAACCTCTCAATGGCTTTATTTTTTAGCAAAAACTTTTTAAACAATAGAAGGTACTGAATTAGCTAACTCACGCGCAAGGACTTGTCACACAGCGTATCCATGACTTCTGATCCGAACAATGGCTATGCAAGCTCAATAAAGGTTTGTAACTGGTTTGACTTGGCCTCTTGTTTGGTTTCTCCAAACTAAATCACCTCTCCCAGCTGTATTGACTTAGTCAAATTAATTCTTAAATGTTTAATTCCTTGTGTGTTTAACGCTACTCTGTCTGGCCTTTAGCACTGCCAAGCTCTGTGCTTCTGAGAACCTAGAGAAGAAAACACAATCTGTGGAAGATAATTGAGCTGCCTCAATCACTTCATGTCCCAAGAAGGATTGTGCAGTGATGTGTTGTGTAGCAAGGCTACAGTATATACGCTATGTATTGTTTACATATGTAAATTCAGATGCAACAACCCAACTCAATTAGCACTCTGAAGTACCTTGCACTAGCTACTTGCCGTGTTCTGGCCCCATACACTTTTCATCCCATGATACTGCTCACAGGGGCCTTCCCTGAACTACACTAGGGTACAACCAGCTTCTTTTTTGTAGCTTTAGAATCCACCAGTGTCTGTATTTAACAAGTGTGAGATATAATATCAAACAGAGAATTTCACTCAAGTGAGCTTTGTTGGGCTTTAACTTAAGTCTTTTCTTAACAGCTGCATTATCTACAACTTGCCCTTTTGCACTTTGCTTCTGGGTGCGGTATGGGAAAACAGAGATCCCACTCGAGAAACTTCTGTTTTGAGGTTAAATCTTAACCCAAGCATTTATGAGCTTGAGCTCTGGGCCTGAACAATGCAGGGTGCCCAAGTCAGGGCAGCACGCTTTAAAACAGACCTGCCCCGATAGCTGGCTTCTGAGACCCTTGAGTTCTGGTAAGTAATGGTGGTACAGGACATCCTGCAGGCATCTCTCTCACTTTCTGAGCAAAGACTAGGAAGTAGCTGCTCAAATTGTGGGCATTAACCTGCAAAACTAGGAGTAAAATGCCATAAAAAAAACACTTACTTCTGTCTTTGAAGGCAGCAGACATGATAGCAGCACGCAGGGAACAGAGCTGGTGTGTAAAAAGTGGTATAATCAGTTTTAATAAAGTCATTCTTCAGATAACTGCACTGTTAATACTTTTGACTCTGCAAACAAAAACATGATTTTCATCAACTTGTGCTTGAACAGAAACCCTCATAGGCTTTGTCTGGTTTTGTACAATTGTTTATACAAATTCAACAAAGGTAAAACTGCATCAGGAAGGTCTACGAAAACACCACCTTACAACAATGGCACTTATGAATGCAGAATTTTACAATTGGGAAATAACCATGTCATAAACCTTAAATGAGAACTCAACTCACACTTCAAAGAAAGAGAAAAAGACTACGCTTGACCATTTATTCTACTGCTTGACTCACTGTATAAATTAAATTTCATATTGAGTACAAGAGCTCATGCTACAGAGTAAAACCCTCCTATGTGCAAAAGCTGAAATTGGAATCTTTAAAATTTTGAGAAAAAGGTGATTTCTATACAGATAAAACTTGGCAAAGTGTCTTACTTCAACTATAATTTACACCTTATTTCCACAACATGCTTATGTCACTTCTGAAGTATACAAAGCAGGATATAAACTTCCATTAAAACATGCTTAAGTTGAAAGTATTAACCTACTTTTCCTGACCTGGGCACATTTTGTAGAGATGGATATTGTCTACGAAGTATAGGTTAAGTTCTCTCCTACCATAAGTAAAGATAAAAATTGGCAATTGAAACCAAAACACTGGTAATGCATTCAAACATTGCATAAATAATTTTTAAACAATTTTGTACAAAAATAGTTCTGCATAATGTCAGATGTAACAAAACAAAACGTGTTAAGAAGGCAGAAATGCAGTGCATGGTCCACTTCAATGACACCAACTTTTTTTGTTTTTAAGAAATGAGCTGAAATTAAATTTACACTACCAAGCACATGCTGTGGTACTTTAAATAACAGTATTTCTTCATGATCAGTCTTCTTCCGGGTGTGAGCATTTATCATCAATAACAGTCGCCTTATGAATTTGCATAAGAGCCAGTGCAGGACATCCCAGGTAGACTGACTTAGTGGCACAGGTTGAAATTCTTACGTGGGTAGTTTAAATGTTGCTCTCTCCATGACAGGACTTGTAAAATCCAATCTTTGATTTATTCCAGGTTTCCAATTGAAAATAAAATCCTGCAGGTTGTTAGTCCCTTTCCCACCCCTTGCCCCAATATTTACACACTTGTCCTTTAACTAACTCAGTTTTTGCAGAAGTTTCTCTTCCACCTGACCGAACTGAACACTTACTGACATTTCCGCTATGAACTGCTCACAGCCTTCCTTTGTCACTTGCTTGCAGTACCTCAAGTCGATCTGACAGATGTTTCCGCAGCGTTTAAAGTAAGACAGGCACTGGTCAGTAACCTTATTGCAGTCTGCCAGGAAATCAACAGGAGGGAGAGAAATTAATCAGCGAGTCTCAGTTCATCTGTCAATACAAGAACAACTTCTACAGACCCCGATTGCTCTTGTTTCTTTGTGCTGGCAGTGAAATCAATGGGTTAAAGCATGTCAGCTCGACTGTGTTTCCTCACTCACCCCAGCCTGTTGCATAATGGACAGAATAAAAGCGCAAAGCAGGCCCCTCTGGGGAAAAAGGGACAGAAGTGTGGGGACAAAGTTAGTTGGGGTGTTATGCCTAGAAGGGCCAGGGAACCTGGATACTGGAAACAGGAGGCCTGAGGGTGGGAGGCATGAAGAAGTGGGCAGAGGGTTAAAGTGGTTGCATTGCTCTAATTTGTGCCCCTCTACCTCCCCACAAGGCATAGCACGGGACAGAAGCGCTCTTCCACACCCTCCCATTGCATACCTGATAAGTTGATTTCTGTTAAGGAATCTCGCGTGGTGGTTCCTACTGCAGTCAACAGATTGATCGACTGATCTGTCACATGGTTACAGTAACTAAGATTGAGTTTGGAAAGCAGCGGCATGTGCCTTATGATCAACCGCAAAGAAGCGTCTGTAATATCCAGACCAGCCAAACGCAGCTCAACTATGTTCCGCAGCTTACTCCGGTTGTCGATCTGACCTGCAAGACACGTGGCACAGGTTTCTAAAGTTTCACCTCCCCAGTTCTGCAGCTATCGGCACAGCACAAACCCCGAGTCACGCATGGTGCTGATGCCCCAGTTGGCTCATGACAGTGGGTCACTTCTGTCTATAGCTCTTAAGGTGACAGGAGCATTTTTCTCCTTCCTCTACTCTTCCAGTTACTTTGCTGAGTGCATTTTCAGTTTCCCTACATAATCAGCATTACCTTATATGTGTAGGTTTGGAAACAAGTAAAAAAGGAACCATGTTTAGAAGGGAAGAGGCAGCCATTTAAAATCCAAAAAGAACCTCTTTTACCTATTACATTGCCTAGATGTCAGATTGGGGTCATAAGAGTCGGAGTGTTTTCTGTTAGTTCTGCTCCAGAGGTGATGATTTGGGGTCCTCTGCACAAGAGCTGAAAGAACCATTTCCTGTGAGTGCATTTTGGTAAAGGCGTGTGGACAAATCCAAGGCCTAACATCAAAGCCATGAAGGCAGGCAGCACAGTGCTAAGAACACACGCCAGGATGCAACACTCATCAGAACAAGCACTGCATCCTTTCTGCAGTCAGGTCTTAAAATGCTTGCAGCCAGATCCAGCTTGCTTGGTAACATGTATGATCTCCCTCTGAGCTACCTGAGCAGGTGGCATGTCCCAGGGAGCCGGTCTGACTCAGGAAAGAAAGTTTCCAAACTTAAAAACCACCCATTGCACAGTACAAGGGAAGGAAGTCAGCTAGGACAACCAGCGCAACGGCAGTGATCAAACAGGCAGCAGCATGAGGCCACAGCTTGTTACCACAACTCACTGGGATGCATTGCTGGCTACTAAGTTAAATACCTCAGATATTTCAAGCGTTCCATAAAGGAGGGCCCATATCCTTCCCGCCCAAAATAAACTGATGCAACTCCTCATTTCAGTGAAGCTCAGCTGATTTTTTCCGGTAGAGGGTCTGGCCAAGCAAAGCAGCGTGCCCCCAACCCCCTGTGGCTGGCATTTGACCATGACCATTACCTGGCCTGTTATCTGTTGGCGGTGACAAGAGGTCTCTCATTTGTGCGTCTTTTAATCCTTCTGCCCACTGGACGTCCAGGGTTCGGAGCAAAGGGCAACTGGAACTACAAAGTGCTGACACTGCTATCCATGAGCACCCTGATAAGAGCAGGTCTCGCAGACCTGGGAATACAAAGGGCATTGCAGCAGGTGACGCAAAGTGACCACGCTGGATTCATCAAAGGTAAAGCTCTCATCAAGGGTGCGCCTGGCGGTCCCAGAGTCCCAAGTCCCAGCACCAGCAACAGCACAAGCTTTGCCACAACACTGCAGCCACCACTCGCCCTAGCCTGGCATGCTCGCCACTCTGCTGGCTGACCCAGGGAGGCAGCTCTCCATCACCTAGCCCAAGCTATTCGTTGGGACACTCCAATCAGACCTGCCAAAGTCATGTCACCTGGAACCCTGAGCAGCCACCACACAACCAATTTCTGATCCCTTGCTGATGCTGGGCATCCTAGCTCCTTGTCTCTTCCGTCACTCAGATCCCTCCTGTACAATGACATGGCTGAGCCAAACAGAGCTGTGTTGGGTCAGCGGCGGGTGCCTCCCCCTTACCTGGGAGCCTATTGATGAGCCAGCTCAGCTGCTTTTTGGATATGTTTGTCCAGCTAAGGTCAAGGGTTACAGGCTGTCTCCTGATGATACCACTGAGCATGAGCGGAGTTATGGATTTACAATGGTTCAGATCTATTTTGGTCCATAGTCGTTTATCGCAGCACCTGCAAAGGCAACACAGCCATTAGCCAGGGCTTGGCCTGGCCTGAAAGTCCCGGAGTGCCAGGGAGCAGCAGAGCAGGAACGGGGCGGCACTCAGGCAGGAAAACGTCCCGATGGTTCTGCATGAGTGGGAAGCTTCCACGTCCTGGCAAGAGCCAAATAAAGACAGAGGGACACTGCTGCAGGGCCGTGTTTCCAAGACCCTGTTACTTGAGCAACCTTCACTTCAGCATGACTCAGGCTCACAACCCACGGAAAGCTACCCAGGACTTGTGCTAAGGCAACAAAGTGCTTCCGAAAATGACTGCGTGCCGTAACAAACGGTTAGCAGTTTTAGCTTTCAGGCACAAACATCGCCTTCAACTGGTGTGGTGCTACTGGCTTCCCCTCAGCTAACCTAGCCAGACTCCTGATTGAACGGTTTTCCTCTCTCTGCATCGGTTTTGCTCCTACGCAGGCAGCTTCTCTCTCTACTCATTCCCCATTGCCAATCTACTGTTGGCAGCAGTCACAGGTCTTAACGAACTTACATTAGAAAGTACTGCGCTTAACTAATAAAACGGTTTAGAAGGTTTTTTGTGAGAGGGCTAAGAACTCATTCCACACACCTCGTTCCCAGCTTATCGCTCCTCCCGCCGGCAGCCCAGCTTGTGACGGGGCTGTGCCAGGAAGGGCTCTGGGCTGCCCGTCTGGGTCAGCATTAACATTCTGATGCTTTCGGACAGGCAGCCCACGGGATTCTTTACTGGAAGCTCAGCCAAGTGTATGAACATGGCTCGGGGATCTGCAGCCTACGCTGCAGCTTAATGTTATGTGGTGATCACTGAACTACTGAGTCAATTTGTATTTGGTGCCCCCAGCACTGCAGGGGCACGTCATCAATAATATGGAAGAGATTATCAGAGATTTTGGAGCAATGAAGCAGCAGAGAAAGGACAGAGTCAGCAGGATCATCCTCTGGGATGACAAAAAAAAAAAAAAAAAAAACCTTAGAGCAGCCTGAAGGCCCTCCCTGGTCAGGAAGCATTAGGATCTCGTTAACTGTATGGAAGAAAAACACAGCTGCTGGTAAGCAGGTGCCTAGAGTCTAGCAGCATCCAGGCTCAGAGCCCCCTACACAGCTACCTACTCTTCTCAGCAGCCTTCCTTCTCTGCTACCATCTGGCTACAGAACTCAGTGATGCAGCATCAGGGACAGTCTGCCCACTGCATTGCTGAGCAGCCTCCTGTGTGATCTAGGAAGGAAGGGCGCCGTTCCACACACAGTCCTGTTCCACAAGTTTCACACTCCTTAGGGGTGTCCTTCATGATCATCGGGAGAGACCCATGGCCTTAGAAGACCATTTCTCCCCTGCTAGGGCTTCACGTGAGCAGCCCTTCAGGAGATGCAACAGTACACCAATGAACCGCATCGCCCCACCACAACCCCACTCTGCTCCTTACCATCTGTTCCACGTCTTGCACACTCTCATACAGATGCACAAGTCTCTATGACTGAGGTAGCTAAAGACAGCCATCCAGACTTCCCTCTGCATCACGTGGGCTGCCCCATCGTCCAAGGGCAGCGAGTCCGGAGGGGGGCTGATGGGGGGCGGGCGGATGACATGGCGTTCCATCTGGATGCACTTGGGAGGAGAGAGTGAAGGGGGCGGGCGGGCAATGCCCCGCAGGTTGCTCCGCAGGCTGGGCATGAGCTGGTGCCGCAGCTCCTTAGGAGTCCCGTTCAGCCCTTTGCTGCACTTGTGGTGTCTGTCGCTGTTGTTCAGTGCCCGCTTGGGCTCCTCATTCTCGCTCTCCGGTTCCGACTTGATGGGCTGATGGTTCTCGTTGGCAAGGCTGTTCTCGGTTTTTTGGATCTCCTGGTTGAGCTCCTTGCTGAGCTCCTTGCTCAGTTCCTTATTTGGGAGCCGCCTTTTCCGCCGTATCTTGAACTTCTTCTTGTCCCTGGGCTCGGCGCTCTCCGTGCTGGGCCCTGCGGTGGGGGAGCTTGATCGCGACTGGTCACTCTCCTTGGATTTCGGAGGTGCCTCTGGCAGGTCCTCCTCAGGCTCCTGTTTCAGACGCCGCAGGGGCTTGACCACGGTGGGTCGGTCATCTGTCGCCTTCCACGATCGCCTCTGAAAAGAAAGAGTCTGGGGCAATAACACAGGCTGACAATTCACAAGCTCCTGCCCTATTCTCCATGAACAGGGGCCTGCACACCTCAGCACTGAGCTGCGGGGCAGACAGCCACACCAGCTCCCCTCCCACGCATTCTCCCGACCGTGGTACCATGCTGAGGATACTGCAGAGTGGCCCTACCCATGAAAGAATTGGAGTCCAGGCAGGGGCCCCAAGGACTTCCGGGTACTGGCAAATACCCAGTGTACACAGCCCACAAGGCAGTGCACTAATTTTTAAAGGACTCATGTCAGGAGTCCAGCAGGAGCCATAGGCAAGCAGTCACAATATGTGCACCAGGTAATAGCACAGTGTTAGCATGTGCTCCCTTCCCAGGCTGTTTCCAAACTGGCTCAGACGTAAGCTGCCCATTTTATAAAGGGGAGCACCCAGGACTGGTGGTACTAGCCAAACCTGGGCCGCACCACATGCTCAGAGCTTGGGCCTGCCCTCACCAAGCCTCTCTCCCACACACTACGTGCCTATGAAGCGGGTGATCCAGCTAACAGCCTGACACACTGCTACTCTGATCCACCCTGAACTTTGCCAACACCCTGCTCCCAAAGCAGGGCTGCAGGGGAGTTGATTGCCCCTCTCTGGTCTGTTCTGGTCATTTTCATAAGTGTGACCTCACATGTCACTCGTCTGCTGCAATCCAATTTCACACTGATGCACGCTGGATGGAGCTGCAAAAGATGTGCAATGCCAAAGAAAGGGAAGCTCCAGGTCTAATTGGATCACACCAAGAGAGAGCGAAGTGGGCAATAAAGCTACAATGGAGCAGTACTAGCTAAATCGGAAAGGAGCAAGAAGGTGTCACTAAAAAAATCATTATGCCAAAAGTTTCTATGTTGCTGCAATAAGTTCCCTGGATCAAACAGAGGGGTATGCTCCTATGCTGTAAACTGCAGAGACCTCACGGATTTTTTTTTTTAGCATTAACTAAAGCCAGAGGGAACCCCGCTAATGTATTTCAGATTAGATCTGAATACTCTCTCCTTTTTAAATTCTCCTGTTATTATGGGAAATCATGGGGAGTTAGTGGCAGGCAACTTTAAAACAAATTACAGAAATTTTCTTCAGCCAACAGTCAGTTGTGGCATTCTTTTATCCAGGAACTGAGACTGGTTCATCCAAAGACCTGTGATGCTGGTCTGCAGGTACTAGTGCACAGGAGTTGCACACCACCAAGCCGCAGGCCATTAGATGTGCCAGGAGGGACTTTACCTCCCACACCATTAAACAAATAGCCAGGTGTATTACTGAGATTCAAGCACTTATGAAGAGCAGAACAGCAGTAGGGAGGGCAACGTTTCACTCTCTGGCCTTTAACAAGCACAATATTTCAGCAGAACAGGAAGTATAAGAATTGACTCTCTCCACCCCCCTGCCCTGGGGAAAACCTGTCTTCATGGAGAGGGGTTGTCATGCAAGCAGGCCATATGGCCAGCAATGCGAGTGCCAGAGGAATTGAACGGCCACTCAGCTCACAAAAGGGAAGGCACGTGAGTTACAGAAGTGTCAAAGTACCTTTTTCCTGAAGAGTTTCTCTTCTTTTCCAAGTTTTAGCTGTTCCAGGAAAGAAAACCCAAAACAAAAGCATTTTATTTGTTTGGTAGGTACCCAGTAAAACTCCTGTTCTACTACTATCCTCCATAAATAGCTGATCTAATGAACTGGTTCAGCAACACACAATGAAGTGAACGGATGAGATTATTTTACTAATCTCTGAAGTACTAATGGTTTGATTTTCAAAAAATCTCTGTTGGGATTCAGTGATTACCATCTCCTCACCATACATGGGGGGTTACACTGGGGAACAAATGGTCCCACACTGTGGATGTTTGTGGGAACCAGGAGAACGAGCATCTTCTCTGTGCCCACAGAGAAGAGAACAATCCTGGCTACAAGACAAATCTTCACAGGCGGGTGCAGCGCAAGTCTGCCCCTCCTGCTCTGCTAGTGCAGCCTCAGGCCCTCCTTATTCCACCTCTTATTGCAAGTCTCACGCTTGGCAAAAGGAACTGCCGGAGCGGCCCGCACATTACTAGAAGCCAGCACACGGGCATCTACTCTGGACAGAAGTAATTTAAGTCCGTGACCAAGCTGATCTGCAATTCCTAGAAATCCAAACTAAACCAATGCACGTGACAGATTCAGCTGCTGCCTGGCACAAATAACCAAGTGAGTTAAATCTAACAAGTGGTTGCCTATGCTGCAGCTGGAAGCAGCAGGTTTTCCCATGTCTCTGTAATCAGAGGAAACAGTATTTCAAAGATGACAGGAAAATCAGCCTCTAAAGTGGAGCGTGTTGGGTGCATTCTTAGAGCTTGTTAAAAGAGTCGAGCACCACCCAGTGGCTACACTGGAATAAGGTTAATTAAACTGCCACCCCCCCCTATTGTAGGATCCTCTTACTTCCTTCAGAATTGCTTCCCTCATTTTTCCTAAAACCTTGGAACTTTGCCTGGCCTTCACTGCTTCTCGTCACGGACAAAGTCCAGGTGGAAAATTTTCCTGCTCCACCAGACAAGTCATTTTCAAAGAGGGAGGGGAAGCACTATGCAGTATCCTTCGTACCCAAACAACCGCTGGGATTCGGAAGACCCAGAGGACAGCTAAAGCAGAAGAGCATGAGACACGAGCCCTTGACCTACAGGCCACAGGGGGCCGGGGAAGGGGACAGGGCTCTCCTACCCGTTTCCTCATAGCAGGCTCTTGGGGTTTCTCAAATTTCCTTTTCCTTCGCAGATGCACCTCATCCGACTTTCTCCTCGAGATGGAGTCAACAGGAGACTTCTTGGCATGTTCCTCTGACTTCCGCCTGGGGGTCTCTTCACATTCACTTTTCCGCTTTGCAGCGTCCATAACTTCCTTGTTGTCTCGGTTTATCTTCTGTTCCTTCAGCAGTGAGCCTGGGAGATTGGATGCGTATTTGAATCCTGGTCCGCGCTTTTGCTTGTACGCCAAAGAGACACAAAAAACACAAGCAAACTTTATATCTTCTCTTTTTTTGTTGTTGCCGTTTACAACAAATCCACCACGTGTGACAGGAAATAGTGGGCTGTAACCAGCCACAAGGTTTCTAACGGATAAGTGGCCAGCAAGGTGACATTTTCCACTTCTCCAGATTTTTTTTCTGCTTTGGTCACACCTCTTTAACCTCCCTCTTGGTTGTTAGAGAACCCAACGTCTCACTAGTTGTAAGAGATGCTTTAGATCTCATTTAAGGCCCTTTTTTCAAGATCCAGTGGAACTTGCTCATCCTTGAGATTAAAAGTTACTGGTTTTCAGTTTGGACCAAAACACTCTCCCCCCAAGAGTTGGTGATGATGTCAGCATGCGATATCAGAATGTGAAACCAGTAGAGACAAGAGGGTCAGGGGATCATTTATTTCTTTCATCTCAGCTGAAGGGAGTGTGAAAATGCAAGCTAGTGAAGGCAGGGTGATTTTCAAGCAAGCCAATATTACTTGAAAACGCATGCTGCCAATTGGGATGGGCGTTTCTCAGACTAGCTGTGCCCCTGCCTTGGAGCTGTACGAAGACACAGTTACGCCAGGTTTGGCATCTTGGTCTAACGTTGGTGTGTACAGGGATGAAACTCACTTTCCCAGTTTTCCCCGCGTGGTTGCACTTGGGGCACTCCCAGCAGTTGGGCAGCTCGTCGTTAACCACGCCGTCCGACTCCTTCACCTAGGTGGGAGAGGCAGAACCCAGATTGCAGTGAACAGCAGCATGGGGGCAACTCAGGGAAAACAGGTTTGAGCACTTGGAGGCAGTCATTACAACAGCAGGGGACAGACTTGTTGCACTGCTGTCCTGCTGCCCAGATCAGGAGTTCCCCTCCCAGGGGCTCCCGGCTCCCACATGCACTACAGGAGCTGGCTGTCCTGTCCTCCTGGCACAATGCTGGCCCTGTAAGATTGGAGGGAGCACTGAGAGGAAGCCAGAGATACAAAGCAGGCTGGCCAACATGGTATAGGCAATGGGTGGCTCCTTGTCCAACTTGTTGGCCGATATAGGGGACAGTCCCACTCTGACACCCAGCATATGCTGTGGGTAGAGAGAAATGGACCATCATCACCTAGTCTTTACCTGCTGCCCCCATGTGATGCACTCACTCTTTTCCCTCCAGGGGACAGGCAGGGGTTGAATTTGGTACTAGAAGGGTCTCCTACCCAGTCGCACGAATACTGCAAGGCATCTTAACAAGCCAGGTGTTCGATATGGCTCTTCAGAGCGCGTAACAGGTCAAACCTCCAATGCGGAAAGGAAAGCACCTCCACGCCTCTGACACGGCCCGCAGGCCAAGATGGTGGTAGTGACCAGGTCAGTTCCAGGAGACAAACGTGTTCAAACATCTGTTGTCTCTTAGAATTTCTTTCGATAAAAATCCCACCTCCTCCCGCAAGCACACTCGCAATCTGCCCATTCCTTCATCATGGAAAATGCGAGGCGAGAAAGGCCTGTTCTACCCCTGATTAGCGCTGCGGTGCTGGACGGGCAGAGGCACACCGGGTTCTGTTAAGGGCTTTGTGGTCCGATTAGACACGCTGCTGCCTAGGCTACTTTTGGCAAAGACTTGGGCAATTTCAAAAACTTGCCATTTCTCAAACAAAACCAAGTGTGCCAAGCAGGGAGAGGCAGTAGCACTAGGATGGGCCCATTAAGACCAAGGGACAGTGCAGTAGGATCATGCATTCACAGGTGGGGTCATCTCAATGATTCAAACAACAAGTTTTTATTAAGCTGTTATAGCAAGTTAGATCCACCTCTTCTTGGGATCACGAAGGGACATGCACAACCGAGGTGGAGATCAAAGCAGCCACGAAGGCCAGCAGCAAAAGAGCACCCCTAGGGCACGATGGAAGCAAGCCAAAGAGGGCTCACAGCCTTGGCACAACTGAGGGGGCTGAATCTGGAATACAGGCAACAATGGGGCCAGCACAGGCTCCAAACTTGAGGACCATTAATGGGAGCTTCCAGGAACACCGTCTCTTGCAATTCAGTGAAACAGCTCATTTGTATCTGAACCCTTCCCTTCCCCCAGTGCTAGCGGGCCACATGCTGGAGCCTCCAACCCAGTGGGAAGGAAGAAGTCACCTCCTCTTCTTTAAAAGCCAAGAGGACACTTCTTACCCTCGGGTGCCCCAAGACGCACTGGAACAACTGTAAAGCGTGACCTTTCCACAACGTACTATGGAGCTTTCCATCTACACGGAGCAGCTCCAGGCCCCAATGCCAGGCGGGAACAAGTCATTTCCTGCGCTGAACACATCACGTTCTACCAATAGGGGAGACTTTAGTTAGGCCCCTTTGTGTGAAATTTAAGGCACTGAACAGATGTGGGTAATTGTAAGCAAGTTAATTAGACACACAAAAACCTGCCACTGAATCTGTCACCAACATTACTGGCTGGGTGGGAGCCAGATCTGAGTGTTTGCTACTAACAGCAGGTGGATGTCTATGCCACAGTATGGGGCATCTTCAGTAATGTACCTGCAATATGAGGACAGTAATTCCAAGTGTCCAAACACGGGACGATGCAATGATGAAGTCTTCCTACTAGAGGATGTGGGGATCACTAGGGAGCACTTTTCTGACATCCCTAGGCCAGACATGCACTGTGGCAGTGCTCCGGCAGCAGGACTGGAATAAGCAGTGATGATTACACACAGGGAAGCAGAGTACATTGGCAGAGCTGCTTTCGTACAGGGCAAAGTCTCAGAGGCACACAGCAGACCTCTCTGCCAACACACCTAGCGCAAATGCTGGGGGTGAATGGCTAGTACTGAATTCACTCAGAATGGTGTGGAAAAAAGTGCCCAGAAACAGATCTCTAGGGCTAAGATCCCTACCTTCGCAGGTATTCGGGCACCATCATATCAACATCCCTAGGAATGGGGCATCCAAGTGTCTTTTAGCCTATTGTTCCTTTAAGGATCTGGGCTCAGCAAAGAACATTCTCTGATGAGTAAAAACTAATCTGGGTTCCTTAGAAATGTAGCATAAGCTAATGCAGTAAGTCACCAACATTAGCAGTGTGATTTGGAGCGTACTAGATCATTAGCTGAATTAATCAGCCTGGGCTAAGCTCTCTTTAGGAAAGGGAGAAGGAGACGTGATGAAAGGCAGATTCCTTTAAAAACCCTACGGGCTGGTTATGGGGAAAAGGCCTCTGCACTCAGGGTACTTGGTGATCTTCCCACACACAGGTCTAGTCTCAGCAACTTGGATGCACAGGTCATATTTTCAGACAGAAAAGAGGAGTGTGCCACAAGCCCCCAGCTGACATCATGGTCCTTCGGGCAAGAAACTTAAACCTCCATCTTTGGTGCAATCCCACTTGAGTGTTAATGCAAACAGCCCTCTGTGGGAGAAGCCTCAGGGTATCTCTATGCTGCAGTCACTGCTCTCACGACAGCGTACTGAGACACCCAAACTAGCTTTCAATTAGCCAGACAAGGGACGGTAGCTGTTTAGCTGCAGCAACAGGGAACACAGCTCAGGCTGCAGAGCCCACACGAGGGCAGCCAAGGCTGAGCCGTCAGGCTGCACCGAGCCCCACGCTGTCAGGGGCACACTGCTCCTAGTACCCGAGCTAGCATGCTGAAATCTGACTTGGGCACATCTGCGCAACCCTGCAGTCACCTTGACTGCAGCAGAGATGGACCCTTCGATGAAATCAAACTTGAAAGCAATTCTCTGATGGGGGCAGGAAGGGTGGTGGAGAAGAGGTTACTGACTGCTAGACTTGTGCAGCCAGACAGGGACTTTGAAGTCAGATGGCCTTTATAACCTGGAACAGCCTGCAATGGAGCCTAAAATACCCCAGGTGCCTGTTCAGCCATTTGCAGCACAAGACTGCAAGGGGAGCTGTGGAGTCACCTCAACAGATGGATCCGGGGGACGAGACACTCAACAGGTGGGAAATGGCATTTGCGGATAGTCACACATTCCTCCAGACCCACCTCCTTTAGTTTGGGATGGAGGGAGTCTCACCTGCCACTATCCAATTCTGTGCAATACAGCCAGTCCCGAAGGGTGCTGCTCCATGAGGCTGCAGGGCAGGAGCATCTAGCACAGGTTTAGGATGGGCAGGCGCATGAACTGAAATAGGGAAGTGGTGCAAGTCAAGAATGACGTGCCCCAGAGCAGAGCATGCAGCTCCCTCTCCTGCTAGCCACTAGCTCCAGCAGCACTGGACGTCACTGTTTCACCAAACACTCAAGGCCTTGTTTTCAGGAATGCTGAGCAACTGCCGCTCCCTGCCACCAGCCCATCTACACAACAGCACCTCTGAAAACGGTGCCATTCATACGCCCCGAGATGCTACAGAGCCGACAGGCTGCACAGAGAGCATAGTCTCCGCTGCACAGCAGGTCCCAACACCACTAAGTGTTGCCCCCTGGGAGTAGCAGGTCCTGGGGGACATATTGCCAAGGCAGTGGAAAGACCACTTCAACCATAAGTTGGCACAAGGATGCAGGAAAGAAAGACCAAGCAATCCAAATTCCTCAGTCCTTCCAGCACAACAGCCAAGGAGCTTCCCACAAGCTGTGGCTCCAGGTGATCAGACAAGCCCAAGCTTGACTGCCCTGTTTGCACTAATGGGGACAGCTGCCTACTTCCTCAAGTCTAGGCAGCACTGCCTAGCGCTGAGCACTGCTGAAGACTGACGCCTGCTCGCTTTGTGCCCTAGAGATAGAGCCAGTCTCTGCCAAGCGAGGTCTGTGCCTGGCTGAACACAGGTTTGGGTCCTTCCCAGGAGTTAGGAAGCCCCTAACTACAGGCAGGTGGGAGAGGGGCTGTGTTCTCAACTCATCTGCACCCCAAAGGAAAATGCTTGATCCACAGAGTTGAGCAGAGACACTCAGCCAACACCTCTGCAGGGACCTGAACTCCGCACAAGTGCCTGGGCAGCCCACTCCAGGTCACAAACATTACTGTCCTGCAGGAGCCACCTCACACGCCCCGTAACACCCCCCACTTGGTGCAAGCTCAGCCTCTTATGGGCTAAGGTCAGACTCTCATCTCGTATGGGCCAAGGGCCACAACATCTCAGACTCACTCGAGTGATATATCCAGCTGCTAACTCCTCACAACTGTGGTGCAGGTCAGACACCCAACGCTCAGCTGTCGGCCAAAACACAACTATGCCCATATCTCCCCTCAAAATGAGACAGAAAACTCACCCCCTCATACGAGGGGCCAAAAATCATCTCTGATGAGGTCGGGGCAGAAGAGAAGGGTATGTGGGATCTACCAGTGCCCAACCAAACCATAATATTGCCATTTGCACAAACAAAGACATTCAGTTTCTTTCCTACACCTTTTGGGGGAAGAGACCCATTCCCTTTTAGTAGCTGGGAGAGGAAGAGATGGAGTCAGGTGAGTGCTGGCACCTGAGATGGCATGGAGGTGTCCAAAAGTCATGCTTCAAATGTTGGGCTACCAGCCTGCACCTGGCTCCAGCTCTGCATTCACTGCAGTCTCCAATGAGAAGGCGTTTGGGCCACTCATGGGCGAACCCTGGATTCTCTTAAAGGAGAGGATGGGGAGCAACAATCAGTGCGGCAGGGGCAGCTGCACGCCCACTCCCAGCTCCCCGTCTTGGGGAGGGGGGCAGGGGACAATGACAATCGGACCACACCATAAAAACAGCAGCCAAGGACATTTTTAAGTCCCGAAATCAGGTAAGAATCCCACCCCCACCCAGCTCTTGACACTCCCTCATGCCCACCACTGTTGCTGTCCCCAGCTGATTTCGGGGTGGGGGGGATCCATAGCTGCTCCTGCCCCTGCTCCACCCAGATGGCAGGTGGGCTGGCTCCTCCTCCCTCCACTTGCTCCCCACCGGCAGAGAACACCCAGGGGGACCAGGCCCAGAGGAGGAACCCACCTGCTGCTGCTGTGCCTAGGCAAGCCAGGCTCTCAGCACAACTCAGCTGGAGTGGTGCAGGAGCAGTTCTGGAAGTCCCCCCACTTCCAGTCAGCCAGAGACAGGGAGAAAGCAGCAGTAACAGCAGGTAGAAGAGGGGAGGGGATGTGCCACTAAGCATGGGGTGGCTGGGGATTCTTACCTGCTTCAGGGTTTTAAAATGTCCCCAGCTCCTACAGTGCTGTCCCAAAGACAGGAAGGGAGGGATAGGGAGGGGAGGGGCACCATCATGCTGCTGCATCCCCTCTGGGGTCCACCCTGAGGCCGTGACACAGTTTCAGTGCACTGTCTGTAAATGAAGGCAATGGCCATCTCTGATTTTTGCTACCAGCACTATCAAGTCCCTCAACTCACCTTAAGGCATCCTGGGTGTATGATTTCATTACAAATAGAACACTCCATTAGCATGAGATTAAACTTGCTCTCCTCCTCTTCCACCGTGTCCTCCTTCCCAGCTTCTCCGCACACCAGACACACAGCAGTATGAGGCAGCACCGGCTGTTAGCACAAACCAGAGAAAGAGGGAGATCAGAGCACAGCAAATGTGGGAGCAGAGGATCAACATTCACCTTATTACAAAGCCATCTCTAGTAGTGGCTCTCAATCCCAGAAACAGTGGAGAATCCCCAGCTTCAACTACCACGTTAAAAGAGAGTAAGACACACCGAGCATCTGTTTCCTGATCCAAACAGTTGCAGACAGGTACAGTAGGAGTAAGTTGGGCCTCCCTGTAATACCACAACAGTCAATGGAGATTCCCAGGGATGACTCTGGCCAGCCACATGGATGCCAGTCTCCAAAGCTTGTACCAGATACATCCAACAACTTGTCTTTTATCTATTCCAAAGGTGTGACATGAAAGAAAGAGGCAGAGCCAGGACATCACAACTGCCCTATTCAGCTTTGCTGCCTTCCTCTGCAAGAAGGCAGTGAAGTTACATTACAGACAGGGCAAGCAGAAGGTTGTGGGACACAACTGAGGTTACAAAGCAAATCTGTGGCAGAATCAAAATCTCCCAACTCCGACCATGACCACTTAGAGGCCACAGTCAGGACCAGAGTCCCCCTGTGCTGGGCACTGTAAATGCAGGGGAAGACCATTCCTGTCCTGAAAAGCCAACAGCGTAAGGAGGAAAATGGGGTAAATTTCTAGCAAGTGCAGTTCTGGCTTCCAGGTCAGACACTGGTTCAGCTGCTGCTATTCTCCATCCAGCTCACATGTATTTCTATCACTTGTGGTGTCAAATCATTGAACATTTGTCTAATTAAGAAACTGCTTTTGCACTGATGAGACACACGAATATTTGGTTTGCTGCAATATGGTGCAAGTCTCGTGACAAGGAGAGAAACAAAGGCCCTCGCAAGAAGCTGGCTGCAATTTGAAATGCAATCAACTAGATTATAAATCACTCCTTATCTATTAAACACTCAAGAGCAGAGCACTGGTTTTCACGGCAAGGGCCTCACATTTTAGAAGTAAATAAAAATCCTAACAAACCATCATTGGATAATTGTGCGTTGATTGAAATCTGTGGGCAGAGCAACTGGCAACTGAAGGGAAAATCTCAGGCACAGGGAAGTATTAGCAGTCATATCTTTAATGCCAATCCTGCCGTATATACAGGCACTCACTGTATGCACTTTGGCAATGCTTCTATCCAGTCTTCTGCCAATAAATACTTAGCATTTACACACCACTTTACAAACATTATTTTTTCCTTTCATGCATGCGCACACAGAGAGTTGTAAGGGACAAGATTATTCCCATTCAACAGATGAAGAAATGGTAGTTGAGTTCTTTCTACCTAGCCATGTCCTGCACTGCAAATGCCTGCCATACCGTTGACACGCTTGATCATCCAAACACAACTATGTTTGCAACAGCCTACAGGCGTAGCTGGCATTACTGCAATTGTACTTGCTTGGTGCAAGGATCTCCAGGTGGCACCGAGTTACTCTGCACCACCAAAGAGGGCTGGTATTGCAGCTGCACCAGAAAAACTGGCTCTCCCAGCCCAGTGTCCTCAGGTCCATTTCAGGACTCCTTCCATGTGGCACACGACATCTCACAGGCTCCCTACACCTTTCCAGGCTTAAGGCAGCAAGCTTCCATCAGTTCACAACGACGACACCCCCTTTTTACCAAGTACAGCGCAGGCTCTACTTCCTACACCTGATATTATTAACCAAAGAAAGCATTCTCAAGCTCTGAATCACTGCTTCCAGACAGCCTTTCCTGGAGGATACACGCTGGAAGCAGAGGGAGAGGGACCCACTGCGCACTGCTCCTACAACAGCTGAAGAACACATGGACCAAGTTCCCAGAATTGTAACTTGGCGACTCTCTGGGCCTTCCCTGTTCTGGGAGAGTTTACAGTAAGATTCACACTGGTATTTACAAGAGTAGGAATGCTCCCAGAGCAAACTGGGACCTCTTAGCTGCCAGCTAAGGGCTTAGACCAGAGCTTGCTGAAATACAGGTCCAGAAACTTATCTAGGAAGACCTTCTTACCCCCAGAGAATAGGAGATTTGGACAGGGACCCAAATGGAATCCAGTCCCATGAGGCAGCTGTGATCAGACAGGAGCTGAGCAGACAGGTAAGCATCGGTTAGTAAAAGAAGGAAAAGAGGTGGGGGCAAAGAGTGGTTCTGCTTTGTATTCAGGGGGTAGGAGGATTCTCTGAACAATTTCTCCTGCTCAATTTGTGCTGCAGCCCTGTAAAGAGGGGACTCAGTGGAAAAGTCCTCTAGAGCTGCAGAAGTGCTTCAGAAGCAGGCAGGTGTTCTCTCCAGTTTGCAGAGGATGAGCCTGAGGCACTGAGCAGCTTAGCCAAGGTCACCAAGCAAGTCAGAGCACCAGGCACAGACCCAGGAGAGCAGAAGCCAAGTCTCCTGTTGCAAGGGGGATGCGAAGTCTAGGCCAGGGCTGGGAGTCAGAGGGTCACAACTGCGGGGGGTCAATGCCCAGCGGCTCCTATGGAAACAGTGGAAGCTGCTCAATGCTGAGCAATCCTGAAAACCCAGCTATGTCGTCCTGGGTTCCAGGCTGGATCTTCCGCTCCATCACGTGACCCTGGCCAAATGCCTCCTCGCTCTCGGTTTCAATTTCTCCATCACCAAGAACTAGAAACTTGCACGTGCTGCAAAGCTAAACAAGGCCAGATGGAAGTCACTACACACGTGATAAGTATTATCAGCACCTCCAGACAAACTGCCTTCTCTTCACATGTGCAACCAATGAGCAACAGCTGGAGTTGGCTGGTCCAGAGAGCTTCAAATCCGTCAGGGGAAACTGCCACGCAGGAGCCTGACTGACCAACTAACCCCTGGGGTGAAGGCTGCAACTTGCATTTCCTCCCTTCAGAGAGCAGATCCCGGGTGCAAGCCCACAGGCACTGCACCGCGAGAAAGGCAGTCAATTCCAGGCCATGCCTGGTCTAGCCTAAGGGCTGGGCTCACCAGTGCCAAAGCCTTGGGAGATGCTAGCCCAAGACTTCTGCTGCATTTAGCTGAGCTAGGAAAGAAATTCTGGCAAGATCCAAACCCGGCCACCCCCTTCTAGCCTTGGACCAGGCCTGGAGCCTTCTCCAACTTGAAATCCGAAGAGCTTCAGATTCCATGGCACAGTCCTAGTCCTGACCCCTACCCCCAGAACTCCTGAAAACCCAAAGCAACAGAATTAACCAGAAATCCCACTTCAGTTTTGTGGGGTTTTGGCTGGAAGAGGGCGAGGGGGGGAGAGGAGGTCTGAAAATGGAGTTCACCCAAGCACACCCTGGTGAAATGTCTCGCCAGTTCCCGCGATGCACTTACTGCAATGCACTGCCTCATGATGCAGGACTGCTTCATCCTGCCAGGCCCCCCGAACTTCTTCATGTCTTTGCAGAAGTGACACTCGCCGCACTCTGTCCGCAGACACGCCTCGCACTTGCGGCATCGCGTCCTCCTCCGGCGCGCTCCTGCCGTCGTCCGATTCGCCGCGAGCTTCACTGCAGAGGCAGTGCCCAGCTTCCCTTTGGGCCGTCCGACTGCTCTGTTCTGGAAGAGCCAGACACACGGGGTGAGTCTCATTACGCTTGCTTCCCAAAGCGCAGGAAATCTTTTTTTAATGAGGGGCAAAGGGAACTGTGTGTATTATGCTAGCGTCAGCTGTCTAGATACAGAGATAACAAGTGCTTTCCAAGTTTATCCAGAGAACACACCACATGGACACACTGCAGCTCTTACTGTCAGCCCCAGTACTCGTGAGACCTTCTGAGCCTGGCCCAGGCAGAGTCCCGCAACGTGGGTCTACGGATGCACAACTCATACCAGGACTGGGGCCCCACGCAATCTGTTCACGGCCACAAGGAACCCAAGAGTTAGGCCTAGCATGAGTGTATACGCTCCTGGGCCCATGCTCAGACCTGGGTCCCTTGGTCAGAACCGCCAGGATCCAACAGGGAAAGCAAAACTCACTTGGACTCATCTCTAGTCAGGAAAGGAGGACGCAAGACTTGGACACCACTAAACCCTCCTGACCCACCCCCATCACACTGGTACCACGTGCAGAGCCAGAGAAAGCATTGCAATTCAGAAAGAGAACCACTGCCACCACCTTCTCCTAGGTTTCCACGGCCTTTGGAGGCTGAAGCTAGAGAAGCACAGAAGGATTTTAACTAACTGGACTCCGAACCAAAGCGGGTCTGCCCATCCACAGCTGCAACAAGGAAGCCAGTCACAGGCTTCACATTAAAGGAAAAAGTGCTAAGGACCAAACTCTCCTCCCAGTTTAAACGTGCTACACCACTGCCTGCAAGAGTCGGGAGGGGTAACCGAGTAGAATCTGACCCCATTTCCAGCCCCTCCCCACTGTCTCTTACTCCATAACCGACAGGTTCTAAATTTAAAGCAAAAATCTTTGCCAAACCCATTTAATTTAGTGCCAGTGCCATTTATCCCTGTTCTGCTGCTCTCAGCACGTGGAACGAGAACGAATCCACCAGTTTCACTTTCTGTTCCCACCCAGCCCAGTCATAATGCTGGGTAGCGAGCGTCACGGGACGCCGGGTATTTTTTAAAGAAATAAGCCTCCTAAACCCTTTCCGCTGGAGCTCCTTAAATAGCTGTGGGCCTATTCTGAACTTGGTTCTGCAACTTTCCCCCATTCTCTCTTCACAGACACCTCAGAAGAAAAGCCACACACGACTAGGCTAAGATACAGGTGGCAAAGGTCCCTCTGCGTGCAGTCTCCAGTTTCTGCCATTACCTGCCTACTTTACCAGACATTTTCTATTTTAGCATGCAAGCAACCCCTGCTCCCTAGGGGCGTCTCTGCAGGGAGCGGGGAAGGGGGGGAGTTAGGAATGGACTGAATCATGCTTCTCATTCACAGGTACATCACCACTGAGAAAGGACAACTCCACTTGACACACACCCCTGTATTAAGTGAACTTTAGAAGGTTGTTACGTGCCTGAAAAAACACACTGAGTGCTATTCTGCTATCAGATTATATGGTGTGCGAGATCTGAATGGAGGCAGGGAGAACCAGGAGTACCGGGAGTAGGCGTTGTTAAGAGCCGACGGCAGGCGTTCTGCAGGCTGGCTGTTTGCTTTGCTGAATCGTTTTTAAAGCTCCCAAAGTAGAGTCAACCCTGGAAATGACGCCCTGCCACCATCCAGATTAGGAATGATTCATGCCCCTGACACGATCCTGCCCCGCGCAGAGCTCCTCCAGCCTTCTCTTCAGTTCTTCTGAGCAAGAAACTAGAGCAGACCACCCCTCAGGAAGGCAAGTCCCTGATGGCGAATAAACCATGCAACAGGACACACATCATTGCCAACGTGACTCCTCTCTGTTAACAGTAGGCAGAAGCAGCTACGTTGCCATCCCAGGGGTCTTCCCTCTAGCTGGCAAGGCATTCAATTCTGCCTGCACTTGTATGGATGAAACACACTCTGCTCGGTTCAAAGACTAGAAATAAAGCTGTGGCTACACAAGGGAGAGGCCCGTGATGTTACCTCTGGGCCACGCTAATGCAAGCACGCGGCTGGCTGAGGGACAACTAGAAGAGTGGACTTCACCGTGGTCATGAACCATGGCTGAGAGAGAGCAGGAGGGAGAAGGGACAGAGACTGTAAGATCGTCACGCCACCCGCACCCCCGTATAAGCCCCCACGGCTCGGCAGAGCTAACAGGAGAGATGCAAGAGCCCTGCTCCGTCCAAGTGACATTTCTCATCTCCGGGGCACTTCTCATCCTTCGCTGCGCATTACCACCAGCCCACCCAGTGCTTGAATTGCTCTACTCGCAGGAACCAACCAAGTCACCAAAAGTCAGCCCATATTCTGCAGGAGTGACACCCTAGTTGATGAGGCCTTGGATAAATTCCCGGGTGTATCCTATTTCAAGGGGCTCTTACTTGGTCATTTGAAAAGCTCACTGGCAGGAAACCTAGCCTGTGGGCTCCTAGCCCAGAAAGGGGCTGGAAACCAAAGGGGAGAAGGAGCCCCCAGCACCATTTGGGAGTTTTTGCATGTGTTTTATTTAGCGTGTGGCACAAAGCCAGGCAAATTCCAGGCTGATGTTAGTCAAGAGATACCACAAGCATTCCCAGCTCAGACCCTGCCTCACCAGATCGGCGAGAGGCAGCATGTTCAGCCCCGGGCTGACCGCAGGACACTGGGGTTTCCCCCATCCCCTCACGCTCCCATCTTTCCTGACCCAGCTGGAACAACCCCATTCAGGCCCCCAGGTCCCTGCTCCTCTCCTCCCCCGTTCTGCAGTCCCAAAAGTCAGCTCTGGTTCAGTCTCGGGGCTGTGTAAGGAGAGAGCTGTACGTTAAACTGAACAGATCTTTCCAGCTCGTGGACTCCATCCAACAGAGACCAATGCACAGCGGTGCCAGCCAGCACTTCAGGAAATCCTCCTCATCTTCTCTCCCACCCCCAAGAGGATAGCGCCCAGGCCTCTTTGCCAGGGTGGGGGGCACCAACGCACAGGGCTGTTCCAAGGGAAGGAGAAGGATCCTGGAGGAGTGACAATCTCTCTCTCAGCCTGGAGGTATGCATTCTTGCCATGGCCCAGCCTATCCCTCGAGACCCTGCAAGTTTCCACTCAAAGAAATCTGCTGGGATTAACATCAAAGCACCAGTGTCCTTGTCTTAAGGCTCAAAGGTCTCTGGACTTGCCGCAGAGCAGACCACCACTCCCAATCCACATGCGAATGTGGGATGCTCTCCTTGCTAGTACTGTGAATTTTTTCATGCCACTCCTGAGAAAAGCAAGAACCAAACCCACCAAGCTGAACTTAAACAGAGGGAGCTTGCTCCTTCTCCTGAGTACACAAGGACAGCCCCGATGGGCTTCAGTCTGACTTGTCCTGAGTGCCCAGAGCACATTTGGGCCATAAAGATCTCAGCCCTTCACAAATCCGGAGTTTAGCATTGCCCTCTCATCCCCAGAAGACAAACAGTCCATATCAGATAAGGAGCCTGAGGCGCACAGCCTGGCAGCCTGATTTTCAGAAGCGCTGACCACCCACAATCCCTACGCAAGTCAACGGGAGATGGACGTGTTCAGTCACTAAAGACCTGATTCTTAAAATCTGCTGAAGTCTCCCTGCAGCTTGGGAACAAGCCCAGGAGTCGTGCTACCAATCTTGGGATCTCACTCCCAGGCAGGGCTAGCTAGCAGATTCATTACCCTGGCTGCCGTTGTCCTAGGTATGCTGTATGCTTAGTTGTCGGGTAAGCTGGAAACCTTCACCATCTCTGCCTGCTTGTGCATGTTTGGAACAGCACAGAAAGGCCATTCCACAAGGCAGAGTGCAGCACTGCCTGAAAAATCCCTGCCTTTCAATTTTCTGGTAGCCAGAGAGGGGGAAAAAAAAAACAGAGAAGGCCTTTCACACTTGCTAGGCCCAAACTTTTACCTGCTTCCAAGGAAATCCAACGTTTTCCCTGCAGTGTCTGATCAAAAACCCAGCTGATTAGCAGCTCTCTAACAAACCAGGGTGAAGAAACAGAATTCAGCTCACTCTAAGGTTTTCTAGAGAGTCATTTAACTGAACTGCATCTTGCAGAAACCCAGCAGTTGAAACTCATTAAGCCTGTCTCTAATGTAGCTACACACATTTTACAATCTGTGTGATTAGGGTTATGTAACTGGAGAAGTTGGCCTCCTCTCCAGGCTGCCTCTGAACTGCTACTGCATTAAGATGGCAGGGCTGAATGTGGCACTGCCCATGGGCAACTGCTGCCTCCCGAGTCTGGGGAGACACCCGAACGCTGATGAAGGGGGGTGGGTCCCCCCAGCGGCCGATCACCAACCTGGGACGCGCACACACACACACGGACAGCCGGTGCTTCCAGGGGGTGCAAGCCGATCTCAGGGGGTGTGCATGCACCCCCTGTGCATCACTGATGGCGCTGCCCCACTTTCCTAAGGCAATGAGGAGGCCAAGGAGATGACAACCGCTCTGGGCAGGCTTGAAACTGGGGTGTGAGTAAAGTGTGGGGACTGCCCTGCTCCTGGAGTCCCCGTGTGCTACTGGAATGTCATCTTTGACATTTACAGCACAAGGCTATCAACCCCATAAATGTGACCAGGAAACCACAGCCTGAGGTTACGCCAAGCAGCAAGTAGCAGGAGGCCAGCCCAGTTCTGCGAAGGACCTGAAACAGCGGCTCTAAGAGGTATGGTCTGACTCAGGCATCGTAAGTGGATGTTGCTGCTAAACCTCTCCGTCAGCACAGGACATCACACATACACACGCCTCTGCTGCGGAGCATGGAGGCCAAGAAGAGGCTGTTCTGGCCTAGGGAAAGGAAGGTCCTGGCTTCACCTAAGAGGAATGATGGGGATGTCCCCAACACAGATGACTGGTCTTGAGGAAGCAGCCTCTGCCCCTGCCACTCCAACCACCAACACAGACCCTTCCTTCACACATCCCTGCCGAAGCACCTCAGGCCTGGAGCTGCAACACCCTGCTGTCACTCCAGGATTAACCCTCTGCTGAGCAAAGATTTGGGAGTGCTCCAAACTGTGGAGCAACTC